GAAGGAAGGGACTTTAGATCTTCAGGATTGAGGACTTCATGGTTGATTCCTTGCATGGTTAAGCATGTAGTTTGGATTTTTGGACCGTTTTTCGGTCCTAAAAAAACAAAAAAAAGGATAAAGTTGGAAACTTTATCCTTCCTAACCACATTCCTAATCCAGATATGAACCTTGGTGCTCTTGGGGTCGAAAAGAAAGCTGAATATCTTAAGTTGTTGGGAATCTGGCGAACACAACGTGTTGGGTGAAGTTTTCCCATCTGTGGAACTATTCACGAAACATGGCGTGGTAAAAAGGGAACACGACATATTGGGTCAACCCAGGTCGTTGACCTTGACCATTGACTTCGGCTTTAACCAAGTTTGACCTTGAGGGTATTTTGGGTATTCTGGGTTTTAATGGAATTGGTCATTTGATGGTTGTAGGCATTTGAGTTGAGAGCTGAGATTCAGAGTCTGACCATGTCAATTTTGTACTGCTTGGGAGGTGAGTTGTCCTCACTATACTTGCAGGTCGAAGGCACCAATGTCAGCCCATTGGATCGATATCCTGTTTTGCATGCTATTGTATTGTTATGATCTGTTAGATCGGTATCCTAGTAGTTAGGATGTTGCTATGCTTAGTGATCTGTAGATCTGTGTGTCTTGTTGTAGACAAGTACATGATTATATGTTATATGTGTACATGGTTGGTCGGTGGCTGAGGCTTCACTGCTTTATACATAAGCCAACAAGTCAGGGGCATTCCAACTTGATGTTTAAAAGCCTAGGGTATTTCATCCCGAGGATGATTGGACCCATAGTATGTTGGCATTCCAACCCGGTGGTTGAGGGGCCTGGGGTATTCCAACTCGATGGTTGATTGGACCCATAATATGTTGGCATTCTAGTGATAGTCTAGGGATCTTTAGGTTTTGCATGATAGAGTTGCCTGATTATCTGATGCCTACTAGCCTAGTGTTCTTCTCTAATGGAATTGAGATCATTACTATAGTTGCTTAGTGTATAGATCATGGTTATACATAACTAAGATCTTATAGCCTGAGAATGTTTGGTTTGGCCTTATTTCCTGTTCTTGTTTGATGAAGGGCTTATGGTAGGATCAGATATTCGAATGTCTATATGGTCCAACGTTATGTATGGCTATCATACACGAGTGTTTTAGGGTTGGTGGAAGTTTCATGGATGAGTTGTGGTCGGGTCAGCTGTCTAGTTTTATGATGTTTTGCATTTCCTCTAGGGAGTGAGGATTAAGTGTATTGTTATGCTTGTGAGTATTGTTAAAGTGTGTGATGATCCTTTGAGACACATATGGGTAGGTGTGGAGGGTAGTATGGGCCCGCACTACTGAAAGTACAGGACCTGTATGTGTAGCAAGGAAGTCATAGCCCCTCAGGCTTCGTAGGGAGTTGGTTCCCCCTGTTATGTTATATGTATTATCTGATATATCCCTGGTGTATTTCAGTATGGTGACTACGAGACGAGTTGAGACCGGATCCAGATCGGGATCAGGAGCTGACGTGCAGATTGGATCAGATGAGTTGGATGTCAGGATTAGGAGGATTATCCATGAGGAAGTTGTGGCCATTGTCCGGGATCAGATACCAGAGCTATGTGGGTCTATTAAGATCGCGATGATGGAGTTCTTTGATGACAAATACACAACCTTTGCTGAGACTGCTGCTATTGCAGCTGTGGCCGCTGGAGGTGTTGGACCAGGTTGGTTTTTCAGTATCGGGACTTCGACGATACGAAGCCCCCGACTTTCGATGGAGTGCAGGACCCAATTGTTGCCACGAGTTGGTTATATGATATGGAGGGGTGTTTCTTCACTTGCTTATGCCCTGCTAACCAGAAGGTCAGATACTCTCTGAACAGTTTGAGGACCGGAGCGAAGGATTGGTGGAGGCTTGCCACTAGTTCATTTTCTGAGGAGCAGAGAGTTGTTGTGTCTTGGGAGCAGTTCTCAGAGATGTTCTACTCCTGTTATGTACCGCTGGTGGAGCGTGAGAGGTTGGCGCAAAAGTATTTGGATTTGAGGTAGGGATCAAAGACGGTGACGGAGATCACCAAGATGTTCACAGAGAGGGCTATGTTCTGCCTTGATTTTGTTGCATCTGAGCAGGCTCAGATGACCCGTTACTTGAGTATGCTCAAGAAGGAGATCAGACAGTTTGTTGTAGCTCCTTAGCCATGATCGGGATTAAACCTATGTCAAGATCCTTTGAGTTAGCTATAAAATTATTATTATTGATAGAGTTACTAGGATCCCTATTACTAGGAGTAACAAATGTTTTGTTAGGATCCTGAATCTCGTGACGGATCGCTGAGGATCGTGGGTTGTCAAAGTTCAGAATCTTGGGCTGCAACACCGAGGGCGCTGCCTCCCGAGGCTTGTGGATTTTTGTCCTCATTCTCTCCACTCCTTGAGAGTCGTCATATTATCCTCCTACTGTTGGGGGACCTGTCGATCTAGTCCCTTCATCATAGCAAAGATCTCGATGTTGGAAATCAACGCAGGAGGATCCTGGAGTCCCGAAGTGACCGAAGAGGTGTTCTTCTTCAGATTTTCAGAGACTTTCTTGGGAGCTCCAGCTAGTGGTGGTGGAATATTATTAGAGGAAATGGGAGGAATCGAGGAGGAGGAGAGAGTCAATTGAGTAGACATGATTTTCCGAGGGATTTTGAACACCACGACCCGACAGTGGGTGCAAAATTGATTTGGTCAAAAATCAATTAAGTGGATATCAACCAAAGTTTATGAGAGGTTGTGGTGTTGTTAATGAAGTAATTAACGAAATTAGAACAATATTGCACCAGTGATTACAAGGAAAGCCCTTGATCCTTGCTAGGATCTCCAACATAAAACTTTGGGGGTGACAATGATTACCTACCTTGATGATTTTATTGATTGAAATGAATGATTACAGAGAAAATACAATGAGTACAAGTATAGATGCTAGTATGCTGCCAAAAAATCGTGTAGTGTGACACATATAAGTGATTTATATAGTCAAAGGCTAATAACTAGAACTCCGAAATTTCAGGGATCCTCCGAGATCAACTTATAGTCGTTGCATGACTTGGTCCTCCAGGTCTTTTGCATAGTTGTGATGACTATTCGTTGAAAGTGTGACTTTGACTGGTTATTTCTGCACATGTGAGAAAGACTAAAGAATATATAGCCATTATAAATAAATAAAAAAATGTTAGTCAGGATCCTGGAGTTTATTCAGGATCTTGAGGTTCGAGGCACCTGAGCCTTCAAGGATCCTTAGAATTGAGGATCTCAAAGTAGTTCCGAGATCCTAGCCCTAACACCAACTCTATCCAATTCCCAACCGAAATAAGCTCAAAACTCAAACCCTAACTCTCTAATGTCCAAACTTGCTTGAATTGTTTGCATGGAAACAAAGGAGTTCAAATAAGCACTTATCAAGCCCTCATAAGGTCAAGAAATAATCCGATAACAAAGCATTTGGTCTTGGAGTTCCCTAAACTCCAACAACTTCAAAGAAGAGGACCAAAGGGGACCAAAATCTCTTCTGAGACATATATATATATATATATATATATATATATATATATATATATATATATATATAGGGAAAAGTGAATATACCCTTAAGGGTATATAAACTTAGGTACCCAAACTCACCATACTACGTCGTTTTATATCATATATATACATTGTAATTGTCTAATGTTCTTATAATTCAACTTCTAAGTTGATTTCGTTCAAAGATTTTTATAAATTTCACATTTATTTTACTCTTACATAATTTCCATTTTCAACTATAATATATATAGCCTAATTGATGTTCGTCAAAAAGATGTGATGTAAGAGGAAGATAATAATGAAATTTTGAAAATCTAGAAAGTAAATCAAGTTAAGGATTGAAGTTGAAAAACATTATAATAAATATATCAAACAAAACGATATATTATGGTGAGTTTGGGTACCTAAGCTTATATACCCTTAAGGGTATATTCACTTTTCCCATATATATATATATATATATATATATATATATATATATATATATATATATGCATGGAACCGAGAAAATCAAGAAACTTTATGACTTACATAGCAATTAAAGGGTCTAGAAGGTGGAAACTTCAACTATGAACCACTCCTCCAAGATCTACATATTTCTTTCTTCTTCAAAACTCTCAAAAACACACAAAATCTCTTATGACACAAGGTGGAGGCTAGGGTTTTGTTTAAGAGAGTTAGAGGGTGAGTATTAGAAACTCTAACATGTTAGTGTCCTTAAATAGTGGCCAAACCCTAGAAAATTAGGTTGAGGTGCATTGTGGCGCTGTGTCACGACTTACTTTAAAGTCGCATCGCAACTTATAACATGGTTCGCGCTGCCAAACCCAAGCCTCTGCGTTACGACATCACAAAAATACTTTAATTTCCACATTATATCAAGTTATTAAAAAAAGCAAATGATACTTGGGTATTACACAACTTCACAAAACAAAATTGACATGAAAGATACCTAGACGAAATGAGAGGAGACTTGAGGAAAAATCAAATACAATGATGATCAATATTTTACATGCGCTTAAAAGAGGACACCATATGTGGTGAAGTGAAACGAGAGGACATGGAGACGAAGAGGAGGAAGCGTTCTTGATGGTGATGAGATGAGACGAAAGAAAGACATGCAAAAGAAGATGCACATGAGAAGATGGAGGGTTTTATCGTCTTCAAAGAGCCACATCTTACCACATAACCACGTAGCAAGTGGCAACCGCAAAACTGATTGAAACCTACTCAAGCGATTAAATAACCGATTTAGGGCCCATTTGTTTACCTCTTATTGCCTCGTAATAAGAGGCAGATCTGAATCTTTACAACTCAAAGCGTTTGTTTGGATCTTATTTTCACATCTTAATCTTAAAAATACATCTGACCGAATAAGTGTTAGGAGGAAGTCTGAAAAGAAAAAATTACACGCTTGTTCTCCATTCTCCTAATACCCTTCCATGGCTTGTTCTCTTCCATCGACGCCTCCAGCATCGATGCCTCCCACAACCATCGATTCCTTCCACGATCATCGACCCCTCCACCATCGACACCTGCGACCTCCAAAATCCTCCCTGCCTCCGACGATCTCCTCCCTGCCTCCGACGATCTCCTCCGGCGATCTCCATTGTTGTCCTCTGCTACGCTCCTCCTTCCCCGCAACCGGTGTAGCCATCCTCCTTCCACGCAACCAACAACGTTTCCCTAGAAACGTAATTCCTCCCTTCAGCCGCTCAAGAAGCTCGACATTGAAGCCCTAGATTGATCACCTCACAATTTAGCAGAAACAGGTTAGGCCCATGGTCGTCTTTCTCATACGATTAGCTTCATGTGTATCTTTATGTATCTATATTTTGATTGAACGAAAATTTCATCATGTATCTCAATTGGGATATGTTTCTTTAAACTTGATAATTATTCAAAATCAATTTGAATCATGTTTTGATTATTCGAAAGCAATATGTATTTATATTTTGATTAAACGAAAAGTTCATCAGGTAAAAGCTTCGTTGGGTCATTAAATTACCATTAATAGTTAGATATCATAGGATGAATCCTTTGTTTGGTTGATATATGTGTCTGATTATAATTGAGGTCTCCAAAGGGAAGATGATAATGGACATGAAGAATACCAGGTCTACAAAGGGAGGGTGTCGGAGAGTTATGGACAATGATTGTTGTTTTCAGCTTCATGATCATGATATTAAAGGTAAAGAAGGTTTAGTTCATGTCTCACAAATGGATACAACTACAAGAAGAATCCTGACTGCAAAAGATGTTGTCAAAAGAGATCAAGAGGTTTTTGTGAAAGTAATTTACATATCAGGTAAAAATGGAACACATATGTAGAAAACACATATGTAATAGTTTGATAGCAACAATGGAACACATTTATTAGTTTTGATGTTGTTTTGGTTAATATTGGTGTTGTTCTTATGAATTTTGATGTTTTTATAAGTTTTGATGTTGTTTTGGTGAGATTGATGGTGTTGAAAAAATAGTTAAAAAGTAAAATAGTCATTTTTGTTTTTATAACGTTGTACTTCCTATTTCTACCCAATTAGAAGGATAGAATTGGTTATAGTTTTTAAAATACAATGTTTTAATAAGGAATGGTTGGAAGTACAGTTTTATAATTGAAAGAAATGATAGTAAAAGGTAAAATGATCATTTTTATTATTCAGCACAACAATTCAAAAGTTCCAACCAAACAGTATATTAAAATTTAGATTTTAAAAATTCAAACCTTCTTAAAAATTCAGATACTGCAAAAGAGATCTTATACTATTAGAACTTAAAGGTTAGACGGACAATTTTTGATAGTTCATCGTTTTAAAAGTAACTAGACGATATGCACATATAGGGCATTTGTAATTCCTTTTTCAAATTTAAGCGCACAGGGGCATTTCTTATTCCTTTTTGCAAAATTAATCTTAAAAATTACCAAAAGCCCCAAAACCCCAAAACCCTGATGTAGAACACCACCGTTCAGGAGGAAACCCCGATGAAGAACACCGCCACCACCACCAGAACAACCACCAGAGTCACCTTGAATTTTCGTTTGTTAGCTCGAGTAGAGGGGCGCAGATGGTTATCTAAAGTAAAGAGAAACGCTGCTACAAGTATACACCACTCTTCTTCTGGAAAACAACCAGCCCCTCAAACCTCCATTTCGCAATCGCAAATGAACAGAGACACAACTTTTGATTTACCAACGAAAGAAGACAAAAAGACGATGATTACCACCAGCAAGGATAACATGCCTCCACAACAACCCAAATGTATTGTTATTACTGATGAAGATCACTGTGAACAACAAGAGGGTAAGAAAGTTAAAAACATAAAGGAGAACGTTTCTGAGGAACGAAATCAAGAAGAAATCGTCTTGAAGCATGCCATACAAGGGGTTAATGAAGAAAAGAGGAAAAACCCTACACAAGAATCCATTGAAACGCAATTGAGGAAAGCCCAGAGGAGGGAAGTACTACTGGCCCGATTGCGTGCCCGGATTCAGAAGTCGGAGGTCCGATTTATGCATATCGAGGAACAAAATCATACCTGCTGTGAAGAAGCCCGTGGATGATGAACAAAAGTAATTGTAGCTTGCTTGGTGCTAGCTTTTGAAGAATTGGATTAGATACAGGTAATTGTGTCTACATACTTACATACATATTTGCATTCGCTATGTTCCCCTATTCAACACTTGCAAATTCGAATGCAAATGGCATATATAGTTGGATTGAATGGAATAAATATAGAGATTTTGGAGTGTTGATTTTGGGTCATAATTGTGTTGATCACTTGTTGAGTTCACACTTTACACTTATTATGTTTGTTGCTACTTAGACTACTTGTTTACATGTATGATGATTTATTGAGTACTAAGCATATAACTTATTTGGGTTTTTAATTTAAGCCTAACACATTTTCTTTTGGTGTATATTCAGGTAAGACTCTCACCTTGAAGATGATAGTATGATGACATAAGAGGAATAGAAGATTATCTCTTTTGATATTAACCTTTGGAATGTTTGATGTTATATTCAAGGGTGATGGTTTAGTATCATAAACAATATTATTTCCGTAAATGTTAGTGGTTTTGGTGAGACTAGCTTTTTTGGGATATTGTTGGTAAATGGTATTACATATTCTAAAGTATGATGCTAGGTTTTTGTGTATTTGAAGATTTAATCTTAGTAGTGGTAATTAATTTGTTGATTATCCTTGCAAAATGACTTCCATAGTTTAGGGTCGTAGCATTTTTGTCAATGGCACGTAATGAAGGTACCTTCCACTTGCACTCAACCAATGCCATATTGGCAGTTTGGTGGAAGGCCCCTTCATGGATGCTTGGAGCACTTGTTTTTGGAGTATCACTCAACCAATGCCATATTGGCAGTTTGGTTCAAAGTTCAAACCTATGCAAAATATTTCTCTTAACATGTTTTGTGAATGGTTCATCTTTTTTTAACATAGGGAAAAAATGTGTTTCCATGTGTAAAACCCTAATAACAACAAAAAAACATCTACAAAATGTTTCAAACCGATGCAAAATATTTCTCTTAACATGCTTTGTGAATGGTTCATCTTTTTTTTTTTTTTTTTTTTTTTTTTTTTTTTTTTTTTTTAATAAAATATGAAAAAAATATGTTTCCATGTGTAAAACCCTTGTAACAACCAAAAAAAAAAAAAAACCATCTAAAAGATATTTAAAACCGATGCAAAATATTTTTCTTAACATTTTTTGTGAATAGTTCATCGTTTTTTTTAATAGGAAAAAAATATGTTTCCATGTGTAAAACCCTAATTTAAAAAAAAAAAAAAACATCTAGATAGTGTTTCAATAACACCTAATATCATAAGCCATGTACACTTACAACCGGTAGCGGCTATAGAATGATCTTTTTGTTAGGGGTATTAAAATGAACTTTATTATTTATAAAGATTTGCATAATATCCTACAAAATTTGAACCTATGATCTTCACATAAACAACACAAAGAGATATTAGGAATAAATTAAGGTAAGTTATCAATTTCAGAAATTAACTCTTCTAATTAATTTTTTCACTTAAGCCTTTAATCTTTTCCAAAGTTGCCTCTACGCCATTCACATACTAGTATAACATTTAAGTCCTCATCTTCGGTTTATTTGAAACACTTCAATTTGATAACTTGGCGAAACCCTCACAACTTTTAACTTTATGGATCAAACTTTACACTCTTTCCCTAAAAATTAACCCTTCTCTTTATAATTCTCACCTAATAAACCTTTATCTTTGGAAAAGTTGCCACTACAGCCCTTTTTCACGTACACCTATACCATAACATCTACATCTTACGTCCATATGGTTAGGGATAATTTGCATGTTTGGTCTCTAAGATTTTTTTTTAAAACTTGTAAAGTTTTCATAATGTGTTTTTATTACGTGTTTGGTTCCTTACCAACTTGAATTTACTATTTTGCCCTTATTAATCTTTTTAATATTTCAGGTTTTTTTTTTTAAATTAAGAGTTAAAAAAAAAAACACAACTCACATTCACTCTAATCTCTCTCTTTTTTTTTCTCCTTAAGTATTGCTTATATGGGTAAAATGACCAATAAGCAATAAGCAATAAACATTCCCCCATTGCTTACTAAAATCAGCTTATTTGACTTATTCCTACCGCAATAAGCTGATTTTTAAAGACTCCTATCCAAACACTTAAATTTGCTTATTGATTAAACAATAAACGGTAAGCAACCTATTTTTTTCCTATCCAGACACCCCTAAAAAGAAGGCGCCAGAAAACTTTGAACCTCATCGGAAACCTTCTACCTGTCGCTCAACAACTTCATAATCGTCGGAAACCTCGGACCCACTGTTGACAGCTTCTTACTCCCATCTAACTTCAATAGCGTCCCAATCTACCCCCAACCACTACAACCCCTCCATCATTTCTTCGTCGTAAACTGAATGACCACCCACCACTATAACCCCTCCATCATTTCTTCGTCGCAAACTGAAACGCACCACCAGTTAGGACTGTCAGTATCGAGATGAAGAAACAACTTCGAGGCGACGTGTTTAGGGTGTCGTCATTGCATCCTCGACTTATTCCACCATCTCCACCAACACATCTTCTCATCAATTCTTGGGTTTTTATCATCAGGTTTTCAGAGACCCTTTAAAATTTTTGATTTCGAGTTTCAGAGATTTTATCAGCGGGTTTGATTTTGCTTTAGGTTTTGATTTCAGATTATTTTGCTATCAGAATTTGATTTTTGTTTGATTTTGATTGTTGGTTTCAAGTTTGAGTTTGATTTCAATTTTCATTTTGGCTTAGGGTTTATGCAGAGAAGACACAAAGGTTTGATTTCAGTTGTGGGTGAGAGGAATTCTAGCCAGAGAAGACAGTTGCAAGTGATGAAGGAACTGGACTGTAAACATGAAATATGTTTTGGCATCGATTATGATTTTGATGTGGTATTCTTTTTTTATTTTTTGATTTTGGTATGGTATTCTAATTTTGGCATGGGAGGATGGGATGACGGGTCGACTGGTCGGAGAAGAAGCAGGAGTAAAGGAAAATGGATCATTTGGGATGGTTGTACCCAAGCATAGAATGGATATACAAACAGATCACGTGGGACCCATTTTATTTAATTAGTTATATATATATATATATATCTATATATATATATATATATATATATATATATATATATATATATATATTAAAACAGAAACTTATGATATCATTTTAGACAATCTGGGCCATTGATTGTATTTAAATCTTATGCTTTCCATCCTTAGATCTAATTGTTACATCATCTTTTCCAAATGGAATGTATTTAATAAAAATAAAAGTTTTCCAATTGTCAAACAAAATCAACTTACATCTGTTGAAATGAAATATATTTAATTCCAATAAAAGCTTCTCATATTTTAAATCTTAAATTTCCAGTTATAAAGGTTTTACTATGGTTAACTTTAAAAACATATTACTAAAAATCATTTCAATTAAGGGGTTGTTTGATAGTTGTTGACTGAGTCAGATCTGACTGAGTCATGACCTGACTGGGTCTGAAGCTTTAACTGCATATGTCTCTGACTGAAACCATGTTGTTTGATTACGAATCTGACTGGTTGAGCTGACTACTAAAAATGATCATTTTACCATTCTGTGTTGTTTTGTGCTGAATAATCCCGAGTCATTCAAATTATTTATTTTCAGCTATTAGAACTACTAAGTAATGTACAAAACATTCTAAGTTACCAATCACTAAAAATGTACAACTAAATCCATGTGACAGTGTTCTAAGCACCCAAGCTTTTGCCAACTATCAATGTAGAGAATGTAATCCTCTAGCAAACAGGTAATAAGATGAATCTAGCATGGTGTCGAATTTTATATCAACAAAAACAATCAAATATTTAGATTATGCATTTGTTGATCGATATAGACAATCATTCATATAATAACAATCATATATAGCACTATAGTTCGATTTCTAAATCTACAAATTTAGCAAATACTTCAAATTCATCAAATACAAATCTATAATTCTGATTTCATAAGCAAATTCAACAACACATGAAGTTAAAAAAAAAACAGCAACACATATTCTTGAAAAAAAACAGCAAAGTGAAGAAACATATCAAGAATTACCAACAACCATAATTTGTAATCCAACACAAGAAGCCTCTGGGAGCAAAAGGTGTGTATGTTTTGTTTGAGTTACTATAGGATCTATACATTAATATAACCAATCACAGAATTAACGAGAATAAAGAAATTGATTTTGCATCATAGAAAAATATAGCAATACAATTGAAATATTTGACTTTGTTAAATCAACCCAGTTGAAATTGATAAAATCAGAAGAAATCTTTGATTTTGTGAAATCGATGTTTCCATGTAGCTAGGTCATCCTCTTCGCCGTTCCATATCAACATGCTCATATTTCGAAATCATGTTCCACAGTCCATCGATACAAATTTAAAGCACAAGCTTTTCTAGCAGGAAAACGAAAAATAAAAAGGGAAAAACTTACCGTCGATGGAGGACGAAGATGATGCAGAAACAATAGGGATGGAGCCTGAGCAGATGCGTTTCAGGAGGCAGCAATGGAGGTGATGTCGTCTAGAACGTAAATTGTATATGTGTGGGAAGCGGCGTTGGCAAGGAAAGAAGAAGAATGGCAAATAAGGGAGAATAAGGTTTCTTTCTGGGTCAGTGATGTTTTATTCATTCATGACCGAGTCTGATGTATATGGATGCATATGGACCGAATAAGAGGTATTAAATGGTGCTATCAAACAACCAGACTGGACAACTGGACCAGTCAGATTCAAATCAAACAGGCCCTAAGGCATTAAATATAATATAAATATGTTTATATTAATAAATCATTAATATAACTCCATTTTTATTAGGAAACCATTAATACCAAAAAATCATATTCAAATTATCACATACATATACAATTCATCATTGAATCCGCGACTCATACTTATTTTCAATCATTGCTTTTCTTCAAACTTTCTCCTAAAACATCATTCTTATTGCTTATAACTACCATCTTCATTATTTGCTTCAAA